AATAGCATACATACATACATACATACATACATACATACATACATACATACATACATACATACATACATACATACATACATACATACATACATAAATACTTAGATACATATCTACTAAAACACTCAAACTAAATTATACTTTCATACATTCAAAGAAAATCATATCAAAATTAGCAAATCACTACCCTAGAATTCCATGGTTCTATCTGCTCTGAACCTAGTTTTGAGAAATCTGACGTCGAAAATTTTTAATTTCACAACATGTCAAGCTTTTTCGAGTGCAATTCTTTGAATGTCTTGACAACGACCCTGAATAATCTTATGGTTTTGACAGGGTAAATAGAACATTAAATTTGGTTTCTTACCTTATGGTCTTAGTAACTGAAAACGGTCAAAAATGTCAGATAGAACTGTGTAATTCTAGAGTAGCGGAAATCACAATATCACGCCAACACAGACATTTTTACAAACACGCCGTGACTGATTGCCACTGAGCAGCGTCCTGTTTTTCCAGACATTATGTCTTCGAAGGACACACTTATGTTATGACACTGAAGCCCACTAACTTAACAACCAATAACACAGCAGCAATGAACAGCAAACGACGACAACAATAACAACAACAGCAGCAACAACAACAACAACAGCAACAAAGACGACGACGACGACGAAAACAACAACAACAGCATCAGCAACAACATCAACAACAACAATAACAACAGCAACAACAACAACAACAACAACAATAGCAACGACGACGACGACGACGAAAACAGCAACAGCAGCAGCAACAACATTAACAACAACAATAACAACAACAACAATAACAACAACAACAACAACAACAACAGCAACAACAGCAACAACAACAAAATATAGGAACTTGATATGGCTGTTCTCGATTCTGCTTTCTTTTGTCTTGAGATGGGGTAACACATCTCTCTCTCTCTCTCACACACACACACACACACACACACACACACACACACACACACACACACACACACACCTTTGTTTATTCTTTACTTGTTTATTTGTTGTTTCCTTTTATTATTATTTAATTCGTTTTATGCAGGGGGCGAGGGTAGAAAAGAATAAATGCTTACACCTTATACTAGTTAGGAGGGTCTTTTCTTTTATCTTTACTTTCTTTTGTTTTGGGCGTGCTTTTTTCCTTTAATTTTTTTTTCTATTTTGCTTCCCCGCGAAATGATAAAAGCAAGAGGGAAAAGTATACTAAATGATAACAAGATAGAACTTTTGGACTGGAAGAGTATCAAAATTACGATACCATGGGGGGGGGGGGGTACCTTTAGTTTTATTGTTTTACTTTTTAATTACTTCCTCGCGAAATGATAAAAAGCAAGGGAAAAAATTATAATCAATGGTAACAGGATACAACGTTTGGGGGGGGGAGGGGGTGTCAAAATTACAATATCATTGCTTGTATCCCTTCGCCGCGATATTTTTGTTGTATCCCTCTTTGCTGTGACAAACAGAGGCGAAATAGCAGCGCAGCTGGGGATTCTAATAACCATACCAATCATTCTTAATCTTAAAGAAAAGAATGCATATTATAAGCAGGAAGTCACGACCATGGGGCTTAGTTTTTACCCTTTAAGTAGGAGAGTTGAACGTCTGTCACCAGTCTCATTAATTCTCTGGTCAACAAAGATATTGGCACTGGGCAACCAACATGCATATTTTCTCGTGGGCTGATTTCAAGTTTTTAGTTATTGGCCATTCGTGTTTTAGTTATATGTTGCTATATTATATGGACTGTTTTACAGTCGATATTTAGAAGGTTTACCCACAAGAAGATCAGTACAAGCAGCTGACAAATAAAATCAGACTTGCACACAAATATTTCCGATGTAAAGTAGGTGATCAATACAAGCCATGGGTGCCATGTGAGCTTGGTGGCTTGCTGTATTGATAATTGAAATAGTAATTATGGCAACGACAGAAAAAGACGTTTGCTGTGCGTATGTACGCATGAACGTATGAACTGGAGTAAACAAACAGATAATCAAACTGATCGTTACTTTTACACGTCGAAACTTTGTTGGCTACTTGAAAAAAACACAAGTCAAATATTGTACAACCCAGACTGCCTAGTCTATCAGTTTTAGAACCAGCGCCCCATGGCGAAAAGAACCCTGCACCCCTTTTTCTTGTAGATCCGTTTAATGAAATGTCAGATGATGATGATGATGATGATGATGATGATGATGATGATGATGATGATGATGATGCAAAACAAGACTCTCCCTCCTACTCTGCTTACCAAACAATGATGATGATAATGATGATGATGAATTTGAAACGGAAATTAATGAAAAAGATGCTGCGCTTAATTAATCAAAAAGAGCTTTATGTCTTGGTCCAAAGAAAAGGCTGGAGTACTCTCTTCGATTTCAGCAATGAAGTTTCTCACAGAAATGTACCAGAATAACTGAGTTTCATGAGTTGGAACAACTGTGGTGACCTACTTAAAGTACTTCTTGAAACTTCGTTTCTTGAGCCTTTGGAACAGATATGAGGATTATCGTCATTGTATTTAAAAAAATAAAACCAATTTCCAGAACGGAGTGATATTCCTATGCCTTCAGTAAAGCCACAGAGTGTATTTTCTGCTCCAACATCACACAAAACTGGGATTAATTAGAAAATAAAATCTTGTCAAAGCTATGGAACAGACCAAAGAAGGTTTATGAAATTCGAGACAAATTTGGGATGAGAAAACTAAAGCAAAGCAGAAAAGAATATTATTATTTTTGTGGGTTTTGAAATTCACAAGTTGTTGTGTGATGACATTTTTAAGGACAAGGTACATCCACTTGATCCTGTTGCGTGGCTGTGTCGACCCTTTAATTAATGCTGGGGCTTACCCGGGAAGAGAGGAATAGCCTACATTACCCGCAGAAAAATACTCCTGGCAAAGTCTACCTCCCACGCTGGAGATCAAATAATATCTCCTTGACATGACTTGCCGGGATTTTCATAAAAAGCAAGACATATTTTGTGAAGAATAATGGCTTCTTACTGTTGGAGTGTACAAACGGTCAAAGTTATGCATTGGTCGAAATTAGGGCACCCTACTCTACAGCATCCAAGCAGACAGGCAGAGAAATTTGACAAAATTATAACTTCCACAAGCGGAAATCGAAGTCATATCTTCTGCAGTCAACGACAAAAAGCCTTTAACAATTTCACCACGGATACTCGTCCAAGCAACAAGTCCCATCTTCGGGTAGGGCAGCTCAATGAAACAGTTGACTGCTAGGTAAATGATCGGTAATTGGAAGTGATCGATTACTTTTATTTTTTGCATTGTAACAATTTTCCTAATTTTATCTTTGCGACATGTGGAGCTACAGTACTGACCCCCAGCTAATGTACGATCAATGATCCGTGTTGTATTTGTGAAATGTGATTGCGGTCGACAGGCCAGAAGCAAAATAAGTTTCTTCATCGTACAAGAGTTATTTTTGCCAGGTCAGCTATTTTTCAATAAGCGAAAAAATGAAACTTTGGGCACAAAATATGTGTTTCTAGATGAGAAGACGTAAAGAGGCACCCGCCCTCTTATCCCAAAGTTTAGGTACAGTCAATCTAATTGCTTGCCACTTTCAGTAGCAGCATGATTATATAAGCTGTTTATCATAAATGGAGCATTTGACTTAACACAGCACAGTCAAAATAAATTCCTGAACCAACCAACACATAAAATGCCAAGCTGTCCTAGTTCAGTCAAACTTCTGTGCTAATAATTATGTAGTAGCAATTTAGCAAATACTGTTTTATTTACAGATCTTAACATTCATAAGTATTCACAAAGTCCTTCACTTGTAACAGAAATATAACTAATCATCATGCAATCTTGTGTTCCAACCTGTTTTTCTCAACCACTCAATGAAACAGATCTATAACACCAGCATCAACTACACTGTATGTATTTTCCCATCAAGTCCAGGCAGTCCCTTTCCCCATATCCACTTTTGTCTGTCACTGCCCCGGCACTCCTTCATTGTCACTTTGGTGGTATCCATCGTGGACAGCTCGAGGCACCGATTGGAGGCCGGGTGGTACAGGGTCTGGTCCTAATAGAACAAAAGACATAATTTAGAGGCGTTGTTATACTTGTACCTCTCTTAACTCCTCTTTCTACATATCATCTTGGGTAATTCTGAATTTAATCGCGTTTGCTGGAAACCAATGGCAAACTTTTCGGGCTATGAAATATATATGTGTACAGGCTGAGTTTTGTAAAGATATTGGTGTTTTTTAAATTCAAGAAATTGTAATAAGTGATCTATGATCAAAACGTATATCAATGAATAAAGTTTCATACGGCATACTAGATTATTAGCCCTTTGGGCAATCTCCCCCCCGCCCTCTTGTGACTGCAATAAGACCTTACGATTGTTCACATACTGGAGAGAACACTATCTCACTGCTCCTGACCCCCACGTATTTTTCTTCTCTAAACCAGTAGCATGTATGGCCTCACACACACACAGTGACGATTATTCTAAATTATGCAAACCGACCATAACGTCATGGTGCCAACGTTTTGGAGGAGGTATTTTTTCATTTTTGATATGTCGTGAAAAAGCATTTTCATTTGCTTAGAGTATGGCCATAAAGATTAATAGACTATAACCATTTTTAATGTTAAGAAACGGTGACAATTATCAGAACGTATTGCTTCCGTATTAAAAATGAACGTGTGGGATAGAGCATACACAGATAAAAAAGTTCCCGGGCTACTGTACTTACACAATTAACTTAAAGATTGGTAAACGTATTGAAAAAAATAAAAGTATAAAACCCGTTTGCTTTATGGAATCGGTTTAAGCGATGCACATTAAAATCTAAATTCGAATTTCTATTAATTTTGTTTTTCTTAATAATACTCCGCACGCTAGATGCTATGCCCTTTATATAGAGGAATATGCACAAGGAACAAGATTACAGCTTGACTCTGTAAAGACCCTCAGATGTCCAGAGCACATCCTTTCCTTTTCCTTAATGGAGCCAAAAATGTGAGAAGTATACCATTATCTCCCCAGGTACCACAGTGAGCCGTGGTGCAGAAATATCTGGTTCAAATCCACACCTCGGAATTTCAAAACTTTGGACAGTCCGAGAAGCTTTGCGTCTCTCCATCCTATTGGCTAGGTTCCCTCAGAAACTCTTTCAGTCGAAGTGCAAGCATACCCCTACCCTTGGATAACTGCACTGCACTAAAAAAGGAGAACAACAATACTGAAAAATAGTCCCAGGAAAGAGGGGCATATTTGAAAATAATTCGTCTTATTGTGCCCAGTTTAGGATGAAATATTAAAGAAAAAACGCGAAACAAAAAAGTTATCTGTGTGATCTGATACTCACCTCTCGGTGAAGCCAGTATTGGAAACCTTGATCTTTGATAGGATGGCACTGGTAGAGTATAACATCCTCCCCGCCATTGTGGTCGAAGCAGGCATCATCACGTCGTATCTCGTTGTCCTTACTCATCATCCATAACTGTGAGCAGCAAGAGGAAGGATTCTTTTAATGGGGCGAATTTGACAGGATAGGCCAGGATGTACCGTGACGTCTTGACGGAATACGAAATGATTGCAATCAAAACAGTGGTATAGTCCGGACTACACCAAATGGACAATTTGTCGACCTCATTACGGAGAAACTAAAAGGCGAATTGCCCTAATTTTTTTGCATGTGCCTTAGACACCCTGTATTGCTATGGTTTTAGCACAGTACTATATTTGCTATAAAAAGTGCGCGCGTTGAGTTTAATGAACAATTAATTAATAATTATTATAGAAAGCACCTCTATATATAGGTTGCATGCGCACGAAAATCGAGATTTTTAAAGTCTTTTAGAATTCAGAGACGCATGCAAAAAAACAGAGATTCGCTTCTTAGATTCGGTGTAATGAGGTGGAGAAGTTGTCCATTTGGTGTTGTCCGGACTATAGCGTTTACACTTACCTTGATAGTCCACAATATATTGTTCCCATGCTCTCTCTTTCTCTCTCTCTCTCTCTCTCTCTCTCTCTCTCTCTCTCTCTCTCTCTCTCTCTCTCTCTCTCGCTCTCTCTGTCTCTCTCTCGCTCGCTCTGTCTCTCTCTCTCTCTATGTGTATATGTGTATATATGTACATACATACATACATACATACATACATACATATATATATATATATATATATATCGCTCTTTCAATCTGTCAATGACTCCTTGTCTGCAAATATGGGTTTGTGTGTGCGCACAAGTGCTTGTATGGCCATCAAAAGTACTCATTGGTCTTACTGTATTTATAGAATATCAATTACTGGGCTATAAGACCCTTGGGAACTTTCGCTTACAGTCAACTTTGGCAGTACATGAATAATCAATTTCGATGGCATTTCCAATTCTGGTTCTCACTACCCCATGGGTTATCAAGTATAAAGATCACATAAATAATGAGTTGGTGAGTATCAAAATTGGTAAAACAAGTCATATGAAGAGTTCTTGACTTCAGTGAAAACAAAGATACTGTACCCTACGTAGGCTGTACTATCTTTGGAGAAAATACGAAAACTGAAGTGGAACAGGAACGTCATATTATGATCATTAGGACAGGCCAAGACTACCATCCTACAAGGAAAAGATCAATAAAGGAGGCGAAGAAGCTTGCCGGAAACGCAGGGAAGACAACATCAAAGATTGTACTAGCCATAACTGGAACACCATATCACAGAGAGCTGGGAACCACGAAGAGTGTGAGAAGCTGATTGTAAAATCTACAATGGTGCCCCAACTCAGCTGTCAGCCAGACTATAGGGTATGTGAAGGTAATGAAGAAATAGTGACACGTTTGTGTGTGTGTTTGTGTGTGTGTGTGTGTGTGTGTGTGTGTGTGTGTGTGTGTGTGTGTGTGTGTGTAACCTTTTACCTACCTGGTTTCCCCATTGGCCGTGACACTGGTACGCCTCCAGTTTGATCAACTTGTGTAGAGCGTCAGATCGACCGTCCAAACACACAGGCGCTGCTGCACTGCGAAGCTGGCATTTAAAAAAGAAGCGTAAAATATAACTCGTTGATTTGACAATTTCAAAGAAAGACAGATTTATTTTTAACCCCTTCACTGCTAGACTAAGGGCTGACGTCTCCTCTGTGTGCTTTGTTTAAAAGGCATCAATTTTCAAAAGAACTCGGAAGAAAACTACAAGTGACTGTTAAAATGTCTGTCGAGCCAACTACATGTACTACAAATGATTTGAGAATATCATCATCATCATCATCATCATCATCATCATCATCATCATCATCATCATCATCATCATCATCATCATCATCATCATAATCACAACCACCCTCACCATTATCATCATCATTACCACCATCATCATCTCCAAAAGCTGTCAATTGTCAGGTCTCTAGTACTCAGAATCAAATACACATGTGACGTAATAACAATAACAGCCTTCCTATTGACTGTCTCTGACGACAATAAAGAAAGAAAGCAGAATCGTGTTCTGTTTACAAGTAAAACAAGGCAATGAAAAAAACTGTTTTATCATTATCTCAAAAGCGAAATAATGTAGCGATGAAGAGAACTGTTTTATCATTATCTTCAAGTAAAATATGTCGATGAACAGAACTATCATCACCATACAAGTAAAATTATGGCGATGACAACTATCATCATGAAAGAAATCCCGCCGAGCGCTTCGCCTATTTTCCCCCCTTTTATTCTTACCACTATAATGAATCATTTTCATTGTGGCTCCGATTTTGGAGTGTTTGAAAAACGACTGTGGATGGTTGGCAGGTGTTCTGGGGTGGTTTCCTCCTTATTCCCTATCAAACATTAGCTGCTATTGTCCTTATCTCTCCTCCTTTTGTTTCTATGTAACTCTCTAGTAACACATTTAATCTTCTGCACTTATATCATGACCTATTTATTGTGTTGCAAGTGCCGTAAAACACTGACTAAAACTAAACCGTAAAACGATTGTTTGTTCAAGCATTACTCAGTCAATAATGACTTAGGTGGAATCCCGCATACACAGCCGTGGTTTAGTGTCAAACACGAGTTATTTATTGAAGCCTTTCAAATCATGATCGCCTGCGCTACATCCATCTGAGTTATGGCCCGAGATAGAGGGAGGAGAGAGAGAGAGAGAGAGAGAGAGAGAGAGAGAGAGAGAGAGAG